TCCTCCTCCTCCCCCCCCTCCTTCTCCTCCTCCGCCCCTTCCTCTTCTTCTTCCCCCTCCCCCCCCTCTTCCTCCCCCTCCTCCTCCTCCTCCTCCGCCCCCCCACCCTCCACGCCGAGCGCCTAAAATTCTCGCGGCTTCAGCCCAATCGGCTGTGGAAGAAAATACTCTGAGAGGGCTTTCGATGCCCTGGGGTGGCTTCCGTGATGCCCTGAGACGGCCTCCGACACCATAAGGTGAGCCTCCGACCCCTGGGGATCAAGCGAGGGAGAACAATGCGCCCAAAACGCAAGAAAAGCTTCGATATTCGACGCGCGTCTCACACGACGCAGGCTTCTTCCTCTGATCCTCGTGAGGGACGTGCCGAAATAGGAGCGGATACGCCATAGTATGCATGAATGTATATATACATGTGTATGTACCTATATGTGTGTGTATATATATAGATAAATATATGTATACACATGCAAAACTACGTGTATATTTAGATTATGCATGCATGCATGCGTTTACTATGCATGTATATGGGGCCGCGATTCTCGTGACGCGGTCCGCCCGAGCCTTCGGTGAAACTTCCCATGTGGCCACGAGCCTCGTGAGGGGCGCGTCGACATGGGCGCCGGCCGGCCACGGGATCGCCGCCGCTGGAACCCCCGAGGGGTGTGCCGAAATGGGCACGGGTCGGCCATGGAAGCGGCGCCGCTGGCGCCGATCGGTGGAGCTCCTCATGGCACCGCGATCCTCGTGAGCGGTGTGCCAACGTGGGCGCGGGTCCGCCATAGGAGCAGTGCCACTGGGGCCTTAGGTGGAGCTCCCTATAGGGGCCACGATCCCCGTGAGAGGTGCACCGACATATGGGCACGCGGAGGGCAGAGGCCATGGTTGGAGGAGGAGGGGGGGGAGAAGGAGGAGGAGAAGGAGAAGCAGGAGGAGGAGAAGGAAGAGGAGGAGGGGCGAGGAGGAGGAGGAGGACCAGGAGGGGGAGGGGAGGAGGAGTAGGAGGAGGAGGAGGAGGAGCAGGAGAAGGAGCAGGGGGAAAAGGCCAAACCTAGGCTCGCAGGTCCGAGGCAGATAGAGAGAGAGAGAGAGAGAGAGAGAGAGAGAGAGAGAGAGAGAAAAAAAAAACAACAACAACAACAATGAGAGAGATGGAGAGAGAGAGAGAGAGAGAGAGAGAGAGAGAGAGAGAGAGAGAGAGAGAGAGAACAAACAAGAGAGAAGAGGAGGTAGGTCCCCAAGGTCCCCGACGAGGCCCCCGAGGCCCCTTGCGAGGCTCACGAGGTCGCCCTGGTAGGTCCAAACTCGCGGGTGCCCGGGGAACGACGCCAGCACCGGCCGCATCTCCGAGCATCGCGAGGACCGCAGCCGCCCCGCGCTCTTTTGCGCCCCCCTCCCCCTCCCCCTATCGATGCAGGCGTGGCACTTCTTGTTTTTATTACCGACCTCTTTCGAGCAAGTGCTGCAAGTACCATTTGACAAGGAAGCGCTCGATAAATTGCGTGCGCTCAACGTTGTTGCCCCGTTCCTTGGCATTGTTATCCGCCACCCCCTGGGGGGCCCCCAAGCTCTCGCACTCGACGCTGTTGTATCGGTTCCAGGCCAACGATCCTGCAGCATCCCGTTGTTGAGACTTGGAGCCTCCAGTGTCTCTTGGAACCCTTTGTGCAATCACTCTGCGTTATTATGAACCGCGCAGGGGTGCCCTGGGGCCTGGGCCCCTTGTTGCTGGTGTCGATGTTGATGATGCCGATGCTGCTACAGTTGCTACTTCGTCTGCTGCTGCTGCTGTTGTTGCTCCTCCTCCTTGCTCTCTTCGTCCTCCTCCTCCTCATCCTCCTTCCCCTCCCCCTCCTCCTCGTTCCTCCTCCTCCTCCTCCTCCCTCCTCCTCCTCTTCCTCCTCTTCCTCCTCCTCCTCTTTCGCCATCCTCCTTTCGACCCTCTCTCATGAGGTGTTCCACTATCGGCTGGCGGCAAGGGCCGGAGGCCTGCGCATTGTACGACTCATCCGCATAATTGTGAGTCCAAGTGGCATTGCCTGCGAATGCCATCTGATCGCAGAGATGTTCAGCCAGTGCGTGCACTTTCATGGTGACTCTCAAGCCCGCAGCAGTCCACCCAGCCATGATTCTGGTCGCGCAGGCCCTGCAATGATCTAGTGCTGTCTCGGACATACGCCGCGGCTCCGACTTCAAAACGCCGTAGAGCTCAAGCAGGGCCTCGCCAACTCCTAGTAACTGTGAGCCCTCGTCCCCGCGATGCCCGCTTGCATTGATCAGGGCGTCGCCGCCCTTCCTCGACAGGAGCTCTACAAAGAAGGGTAATAAAATTTTGGCTTTGCCTGCCTTCAACTTCAGGAAATCACCATTTATCACGCCCTTGAAGGACAATGCGGGCAGCCTGTCGTTGTCTGGGGTGTTGTGCCTCCTGTAGAAATCTTTCATCATTGACGTCACCGTGTAATCTTTCTCGTCTTCGTCATCACCGAAAAACTTTTCATTGCCCAGTTCAGAAATGACTTTTCCTTCATAGTATCCCAATATACCCAACTCCAAGAAGTGCATGCTGTCCAGGAGGACATGGTCCGTCGTGAGTCCTGGAACCCCCGCCCACTGCAGCGAGGGGTTGGGGAAAAGCCGGCAAATATAATTCAATCCGCCTTCGGGTTTTTTGTACGTGTGAATAAACCGCATCGCCTCTGCAAAATCAGAAGTCCTCTGCCCGTTGAGAATATCAGGGTATCCTTTCAAACTGGGTTCTAAACGGTCTCCCCTCGTAACATTTGGAAGGATATGATTGCCGGGTTTCTTATCGAATACAACGCCACCCTTCTTGCGG